GAAGCCAAATATTTTGAATTTATAGTTCAAATTTTGCCCCCCCCCCCCCTAGGAGCTCCTAGGGGGAGGAAACATTTTTGGCCCCCTCTAGATTTAATTCTGTATATGCCCTTGCTATATACGGCATAATGTCGCGTAATTTCTACTTTCTCGAAATTTTGTAATGGTTACGCGTAATTTTGCATCAATCTGTTGCACGAAAAAATGCGAAATTTTTGCGAAATAAGAAATGAGAAAATTTCGCGAAAAAATTTGGCATTAAAAAAAGTGCAAAATTTTTGCAAAAATTCATCAAAAAAAGACAAAGTACAGCTTCAACAACTATGGTTATCTTCGCGAAATTTCGCAAGTACAGCTTCATGGTTATCTTTGGGAAATTTTCGCGAAAATTCGCTTCGTTTTCGCATTTTTTGCTTAACATTCATTTTCGCGAATTAATTTCGCGAAATAGTTTGCGAAATACGAACGAAAATGTTCGCATTTTTTCGCGAAACGTTTCTTTCGCTGCAAACCCTACGAACCCTACCTACATGGTTAAAACGTAACTTTTTTGACATATTCCAAGGGGAGGGGCTTAAGTCTAGAAATTGACGTTGATCCAGCTGCCAGGGAGTGGGGGGCTAAGACCTAAAAGCCGCCCCCTTGGTTCCAATGATTTTACAACTCTTCCCAAAGGCAGGGGCGGATACAGGATTTAAGTGTGGGGGGGGGGCAAGATTTTTTAGGAACAAAAAAATTCATAATTCAATGAAAAGGAACCCTTTTCATAAAATAAACTCTAGCAGACATAATAATATTATGGCTTTTGAAATTAGGTATTACAATGCTAATTCATAACAAAGACGATATCGATCCCCCTCGTACGCCCCTGTAAAGACTAAAAATCTAGATTTTTAACTTTTCACACAGTTAATTAAGACACATATTTTTCCTGTTTCTTTCCCTTAAGCATGCTATTGAGAACCTATTCTGAAAATAGGAACAAAAATCCAAATTCAGGGGGGGGCGAATGTCTCCCCCCCTGTATCCGCCGCTGCCCATACGTATTAATCTGTTAAGGGTTCCGTGTTAAATCTTTTCTTTGCTAGTCCCCTATTCAGCAGCGACTGGCGACTGTCTGTATAACTAGAGCAGTTCACAGCAGTTCACTGTTCACACAGCAACAATCAGCTGTTTTTTTAAACATTGTTTTCAACCAAAACGGATAGAAACAAGGAAGTTACGAAAATTGAAAAATATCAGTGAAACTTGGAAGCCTATTTTAGTTGTGAGATTACATGTCTTTTAAGTCGTGAACGTTTTTTAAGTATTGAAATTCGCTAAAGTTTTATTTATTGAACGTTTTCTGAATCTTTAACTAAAAACATAATTTTCATTTAATAGTTGCTTCATAAATGTTGATTCTGCAGTTGCAGTTGCTCGCATGAATATTGCACGGCGGCCACAATGGGTTTTCAATTTGCGTCCTTCTCAACCAATTGTTCCGAACTTCTCATTATTATAGTGCCTGGGGGGGGGTCCAAAAATCGTTCTCTAGGAATATACCATTATGAACCCCTCCTTTCCGACCAAGTTTTTACAAGACTTCGATATAAAGCATTATCAACATAATTATTAATATTCTTTTACTAACGGTTTGCACTGTAGGGTATACGATAAGACTATTTCTAGGCCTATCGCTGCGGTTAGGGCAAGTTAAGGGCGCTCGAGCGCTACGACAAGGACAGGCGCCGCGGCCACACGTTTCGTAGGAAATCACCTACATTTTGTATTCTGTGAACACATAAATTGGATCCGTCCTAGTATACGATTTTTGGACCCGCCCCCCGCCTCCCATCAATTTTGTACATGATCCAGATTTCACCTATTTTCAACAAAAAATATTTGTTTTGTATTATTTCAGGGTTAGGTTTAGAATAGGACAATTTCTTGACCGAGCGCTGCGGCTAGGAAAAGCTGGGGGGGGGGTCCGAGCGCTGAGGCCAGGACAGCTGACCTCCAATTAAAAAACAATTTCAACAAATTAGTATATATAGTTAGGGTTAGGTTAGGTGAAGACACTTTCTGGGCCGAGCGCTTCGGCTGACAGGCTGGGGGACCGATCGGTGCGGCTAGGACAGGCTAGGGGGCCGGGCGGCGACATGACCGCCTTTAATTATCTAAAAATCGATAAAAAAATTAAAATATGTACAAAATTAAAAGGGGGGGGGGCGCGGGCCAAAAATCGGTCTCTTATAGGAAATAGGAAATTACCAATAAGTAATATAACATGAAGGAATACGTAAAACTTTATATACAATTATATTCTTGTCCCACATTTAGACTCTCCGGACTTTTTTTTTTGAAAAAAACTAGACATTCTTGTTACTAAAGGTTGCAATAATTTAATCTTAAAATGTTTAGATTCATATATTTTTACACTGATGTGTGCTGCAACGTCACATACCTGCAAAACATTATTTATTGAATATTAATTCGAGTCGACCACATTCGTGCAGCACTTCATTTAAAAATATTTGGAATTTATAGTTTTCCAAGTCACTATTTTTGGATAAAATAGTGACTTGGATAAAATAGTGATAGCAAAACATTTAAAAGTTTGTTAACGAATTTAAAAGAGTAACCGTCTGGACATGGTAGTCGAGCTGAAAGTGTAGTATTGTATAGAAATCTTCCAGGATTCCTTTGACAATGAGACGATTTTAAGTTGAAGTATTATTCAGCAGGAGCTTAGAGCACAAATTTAATCTTTAAACTCCTACTGGTGTGTCCATTCTGTAGGGCTGATAATAAGAATCTTTTTTTTTGATTATTCAATAACGACAATGAAAAATGCCCCTCCCTTACAACATATTAATGGGAAATTTAGTTATAATTAGCGGAGAGCCTGTTTGGTTTCAACTCATCAACTAGATCGAAAAAGGTTTATGTAGTTTTTCCTTAATTTTTGCCAAGAATTCTTGAAAACTGTTTCATGGAATTATCTTTCGCTGAATATTGACCTTTGTGGACAAATTAAGGATTTTATTGGAAAAATGAACCGGGAGAATACATTTTCCTGTTAATCTCTAGGTTTCCTTTATAAATTTTTTGTTTTAAGGAATCTCAAAATCTTTTCAGTGACCGTTTTTGAATAAAATCATACCGGAACCAGAAAAAAGTCCTTGAAAATGGTATGACTTTATTTCAAGAGACTTTTTTAGTGCAAAATTTACGACTTTATTCCTGAAAACTTTTCTTCATAGTGAATACACTGATACAGTGTTGTCTCCCCATTAAATTTTAACCCCGAAAGAATATTTGTCATCAATATGAAAACTAGTCATAATATACATGCAAATAGTCACCACCCATAGATACACTCGATACACTGCTAAAAATGAACCATCAGGTTTCAAGTCAAAACACCTAATTTTTTTTCCGGAATATATTAATATGCAGGCTTCTGAGTTAAAAATCTAAATTTTCAGAAAATGCCACCTAGAGAATTTTAATTAAATCCATTATAAAGAAATTCAGATATCAAGTGCATTTTTAAGTCTAAACTCAATCGTGACGGTAGGTTCAAAGATTTATCAAGATTATTTTGTGTTTTTTTGCGATATTTTTAGAACCGTTAATGGCAGGGTCCCCAAATTTTGTAAATTTTCCTTAACAGTCATAAGACATTTTTCATAAAAAAAATCAAAGCCTTAAGTGAACTGTATATTTGCCAAATTACTGTCAAAATAAGATTTCTTGAAGTAAAATCAGTAAAAATTACATCAAATAAACCTTTTTTGGGCCGCATTTTGACAGTAGGGGTTTGATTTTTTGCTACAATAAGTTTCATGAATCTTTAGTTAAACAAAAAAATTTGGAGACCATGTCATATACTGTTAACCCTATTCCTGCTGGGGGGGGGGGTCAATTCGCCCCCCCCCAGTAGTTTTTTTTTACATAACTCAAAAAGTATTGGTCTGAGGCTGTTGAAATTTTCTGACTTTTCCTACATACCCAAAGCCCTCCCTTTAGGCCTAAAACCGGGCTTTAATACTAACTGCCTGAGTCCTCAGGCACACTGCCCAAATGACTGCTTTTTCCTGTAACAAACTAAATCTTTGTTTTGACCCACTTCCACTTGTCAGATTTTGATAAAATTTAGCTTTTTGGAAAGCTTTTGACATAAGGAAACGAATTGCACAAGTTTTGCGAAAAAAATTGCAAATTCTTTGCAAACAACTTCTCAAAAGAAATTTGCACATTTTTAGTTTTTCTTGATTAAAATTCAGGTTATTTAGAATTTTGCAAAAAATTTTGCATATTTGAAATGGCATGGTCAAGGGCTTTTCAAAAATGTATAATTTTTCATTTTTTGGATAAATTTTTGTTAAATAAATGGATTTTGCGATAAAAAATTCAATTTTTGCAAATTTGCAATTTTTTTTGCAGATTCTAAAAGTAGAGCACAAGCTTTCCAATGATGTATAATTTGTCATATTTGGACATCAAACATGGGACTTAGAGGGGGGGGGGTCAACTTGACCCCCCCCCCAGCATATCCTGGTTTTCAAGTACCCCAGCAGAGATAGGGTTAAATAAATATTGCAAGAAACCAAGAAGAAGCAGATTAAAGTCTTGATTGGAAATTTTTGTATATTTAAGACCGTGAATGCACTTGTTTCTACCATATCTAAAAATTGATTTGCTCAAAATTCCCTGGGTGGCATAATTTCTGAAAATTGAGAATATAACTCAGTAGCCTGCATTTAAATATAATTCAAAGAAAAAGTTTAGGTGTTTTGACTTGAAACCTGATGGTCCATTTTCAGCAGTGTGTCGAGCCTATTTATTGGTTAGGGAATAAAATGTTTTAAAATTTGTTTCTCCTTCTGAGCGCCACAAAGAACAGATAAAACATTATTATTATTATGTATTATGTGTTCAATCTAAGAAAATATATTTTTTATAGTACTTTTTTCAATTATTATTTAGATTTTGAAATGTTATAATAAGTAATTAAGGCGCATCGAGAAAAAGTTCAAAAGTTCACCCCCCTAGACTAAACTTCCAAACTCAGGTCCATATAATTTTGTTATGGCAACTCACATGACTTCAAGGAAGGTTTACAGATGGTAAAAAATAACGAAGAAAGTTGCCTGATAAAAATGTTGATTTCATTTTTTTGGAAAATTAACATTATTCACAAAAATCTGCAAAATGTTGACTTTTAAAATTACGAAGAAAAAATGGCCGCTTGAATAGCAACATTTAAACGCTTAAATTGTTGCTAGAAGAGGGGCGCACAGTGCCCTTTGAAAGCTTAGTGCACATTTATTTTTCGCTGTTCTGCTTTATATTTAAAATAAATATCAATGGTCAGAAGCCATACAAGCAAACACTATAAGAACCTGGAATTTATAATCCTAGGGTTGGAATAAAATATCTTGAAGAATATTAAGTTTTTTTTTTGGGGGGGGGGGTCAGGGTTAGTTCTTCGTCTTAGATTTCCTTGTACAGTTTTTTTTAGAAAACGAAGATAATAGTAAATAATCAGATTTTTGGGGTTTTCTTTTCGTTGCATAATTAGAGGATAGTAAGTGAAGTTTTGGGTAAAAAGTATCAAAAACTTGCCTTTTTGATGTTCAATTTATAAAACAGTGGTTCAAATTGACATTTTAGTTTTTATTATTTTCTACGGTTTTAATTAAAAAAAAGACCTTTAAAATCAAAGTATGTTGATATTTCAGGCGTATTTAAAAAAATAATTATATTGTTAATAAATAATTTCAGGTAGAATGTTTAACAAGGACTGGAGAGATAATTCCTGTTGTATGCGTTCACTCATTCAAAAGCTTTACGAGAAATCAGAGGAATAAAAATAACTTTTTTATCTGATCTGATTAATTTTTGTTAAATCTGGAACCAAATTTTATGGATAGCGAGGCTTCGCTGAACTTTTTTAGATTTAGTTGAACCATTCTTAATAGCATGAAATGGCACACAAGAGAAGCACATGGTTCAATTATTTCTAAAGTTTCTACTTGGTTGAACTACTTTTTGTAAATCTTTTCTTTATATTGAGATCAGAGACCGAATTTTATGAATTTTAACTGCCTACCGCCGGTTCAAGCTTAAATCACCGATACAAATCCTTCTTGAATCTTTAACTTTGAATCGGTGGTTCAAATTTGAACCGGTAGTAGGTGGTTCAGTGACACAGCTAATTTGTGCATAAACAGTAGTCTCAAATTCTGAATTTATCATATTATGTATTACCCGAGATCTTCTAATGAAAAAAATCTAGCTTTAATTTAAGAAATATTACGATTTTTTCCGATTTAACCTATAATGACCTAGAAATTTTGTGAATTTTTTTAGCCCCATTTTGTTTAACCTTCCTGTTTGCTTAAAAAAAAAATTTTCGGAACACTTTTTTGTTTTATCAATCTTTTGGTTAAGATGTTATTTTTATTAATTTAAGGGAAACAACTTCCAGGATGTAACCTTTAAGCTACCTGACGGCAGCGAGGTAGGAGCACACAAGCTTGTTCTAGGACTGGCAAGCCCGTTCTTTGAAGCGCAATTTTTTGGTTTGCTTGCCACAGAGCAGTCTCCCATGGTGGTAAAAAATATCGAGAGCTTTGCATTTAGGTAACCAGTGATTTAGGTAGGCTTATATTTTTAGTTTAAAAAAATTGTAATCTATCAAAAAGGGGTTTAAACAAAACAACAATTAAAGCTATTCGACTGTAGAGGTAATTTCAAGAGTACCATTTCCAACATTAAAAATCATTGTCCTTACCGCGGATGAATGAAATATTTTCATCTTTCTAGCTAAAAATTCATTATTTTCAATTTGGTTTTCCGTAAAAGTGACTTGCGGATTTATGTTGCAGAAAGATTACGTTTCCTTTTTGATACTCAGATGGGTTAAAATGGTATGAGAGGGAATCGGACATTAAGAAAGAATGAATTAAGCTATGCTTATACAGTCCACACATTTCTTTTATAAAATCTAGTTTAACTCATTTCTACGCATTTAAAATTTCCGACTCTAGTTCAGAGTTAAACCCTTACTTGATGTCAGGAAGGTTCTGGAGTTTATTTATAAATCTGGAGATGTGGAGTGGACTGGTGGGAGTATCTTGGAATACTGGAGTATACTGGAGGTTTGGAAGAATCTATTTATTTAAAAAATACTACTTTTTACCTCATTTTCTTATTTTTTGCTCTACACTAAATCATTCAAAAAATCAATAAAATTTAAAAATGATATTTAACCCCACTTAAAGGGACTGTTTTCGTTATTTCAAGTGCCCCCGTTTAAATTTTAGGCTGCGCACATGTACCTAGTTCCTGGACTTATAAGTCTTTGTAATACAAAGCTTTCAACATTCCTCAACACTATTCCAGACAATAGGGAACTAGTGGAACATGTCAATAGAGCTGCTCAACTTTATATATACGAGGTACAGTTGCCACTGGTCAGCATATATATATCAATACAGCGTTGACTACTCAAATATACAATTTCAGTACCTGGCAAAATATTGGTGTTCGGTGTACGATGTACAGTGTGACACACAGCCACTCTTTAATATTTAGAATTTCAGTACCGGTTATTTTAAATATGTCAGCCTCTTCATTATATCATTATTTCAGTAAACTTTGTATTGATGAATGTGCTTACCACGGTAGGAAAAAAAATATTAAACAATGATATTTTTTTTTCGTTGCTTGTTTGTTTCCAATAAAAGTTGAATCATTCAAGTCCGATTTTTTGTAACGACTCACAGGGCCCAGGTAAGGTTAATAAGATCGAAATTAAAAAATTGCCACAAAACAGTGAAATCCGCGAAATTTTTTATTTTATTATTTTAAGATGTAAGAAAAAGAAAGACTTGCATAGAGATCAGCAAATAGCGTATATTATTAATGATTATTAATAAAAAAGATGCTCTCTCAACGCACCCAAAAGAGTTGTTAACTAAATATAGGCATTTATTTTTTCTTTCCTGTTGACATTAAAGTTGAAATCCAAAGTTCGGGAAACAATTTGTTCCTATCAAGTTGTGATGATTACATGAATAATAAGGATACTATCAAGGGAATATACTCGACTGGTCTACTGGAGATCAAGGCTAGACTAGGAGATATACTGAATACAGATAATTGGAACCTACTCGAGGAATCTGTTGTTCTGGATATTCTAGACGATCAAAAACTGAAGGTAAAGTCAAACTTTTTTACAGCTACATGTGACTAAATTTTTGATTATATTAAAATCTACATGTTCCTTTTTATAGTTTTTACATTGACATGTGTTTTATAATTACTTTTTTAATTTTTAATTCTCTCTTTTTTCAAACTTTTTATTCAGAGGTATATTTTCTGAAGTATTAACCCTTCTTATTTTTATAATTATCAAATTTTTACCAACATTTTCCTTCTAAAAATAGTTTATTTTCCCTAGATTGACTTAAAAACTTGGAAGAATTTCTGCGTTCCGCGCACGCTCATTATTTTCAAGAAAATATATACCCATGTTTCCCCCTTTTCATGAATTGTGTGTTGATTGCACATTAAAATCTACCCATTCTAAGTTGATTGGGTTGACTTCTATTGGGAAATCAAGATTTTCAGGCAAAGCTGGGTTCTCAAGAGAGCAAAACATAAACTCACTGCGTTATAATTGGTCTATATTCTAATGGGGTTGAGTGTTCCTTTGTTTCGGAGATAAATCCTATATGGAATAAACATGGAATTAATTCCGGGCCCGGCTTTATGAATTGGTCTATATTCTAATTGGGTTGAGTTTTCCTTTTTTTCGGAGATAAATCCTATATGGAATAAACATGGAATTAATTCCGGGCACGGCTTTATGAATTTATTTAAACTTTAACATTACCCAGATCCAAAATATTTGATTGATGATAGTTTTGTTAAATGTATTAAGAAATGGAAATCCATTAAGTGAAATACCAACCTGAAAGGGGGAGGACAGGGGGGGTATGGGTGGTAAGGTTATTGTAATGATTGTGTCTTAAATCGGGCTTAATATTTTATTTGTAGGTTCCTGAAGGTGAATTGTTCCAAGGAATGATAAACTGGTGTAAATACAATACTGAAGATCAGGAGTCAGCCACCCACAAGTTCGAATCACAATTTTCCTCCAAAGTTCGAGTGAAGAACATGACAAAAAATACATTTTTGAAAACTATCGGTGAGTCTGATTTTACCTCCCCGAAACTGTTTAAAAAGTGGACTTTTGAGTTTATGAATGGGAACCCTGTACAGCTTGATGCAACAAGATATGCTCTTCACCCTCTCAAAATTCATCAAACCAGCATAGGTGAGAGTCAATAATTTTCCTTTTTTTGTCAAAAAAGGCTTAAAAAGGCAAAAAAGTGGGGGATTTAAGTAGAAAATACTAAAGGAAACAAAACTGTTAATTGAGATGAAAACTTTTAAACAAAATGGTTAAAATTCCCCTGAATTTAAAATGTGTTCATCTTATGCCATCCATTGTGACTTTTATATGCCAAAATTCTGTTTCTCCGATTTTCAAAAGTTGAAAATCACCGTAAATAAATGTCAAATTGTTTCTCATTTACTAATCATCAATATTTAGAGATTTTTGAATGAACTTTTCAAATAGTTTAAAGGGCAAATGGCCAATCCCGAAATATGATTAAAACCTTTGTTTGTGCCAAAATGATTGAGATTTCCTTGTTTTTCTGACTGATATTTGAAACACTTAACTCTTTTTAAGTGACCAATGGAAAGAAGGAAGGAAATTGAGAGAATTTTTTCATTTTCAAAATAGAAATAAATCTCTTTCTCAATAGTATATAAATAATATCAGTAATAATATCAAAAAAGACCTCCCTTTTGAATGGAGACTCTTTAGATACAGGGTCGCCTGAAGTTACGTAAACAGTCCCTTTTAAAAATAATTATTTAGTATCTGAGGATTTCCTGGAAGCTCGAGGAGCGGGGTCTGGTGTTCCTCCTCAAGGACCAGTTGATGAGGGACCAGTAGACTCTGTTCTTTGGAGAACTGAAGATGAATTTGAGGATGTTGGTTTAGGAATCAGGTTCGCCCCACCCCCACTTTTAAGGCTTCCCTTTGCTTTTGAAGAAAAGATCGCCAAAAAGAATGACACAAACACAATGATACAATTCACTTGTCCTGTAGTATGTGTTTTGCAGTAGTTACGCTGTACATAATTAGTTCTTTATACATTATACACTGTACAGTAAGTGTAATATTGTACTATGTACACTGTACAGTGTATTAAGTGCAGTATGTGTAGTTATGTATATTATGTGTAGTATGTACAATAAGCATATTGTTGTACAATAAGAGTATTATTGTACAGCAAGTTTAGTTTGTACACTGTACACTAAGTGCTGAACAGTATGTAAACTTTATATTTATTGTTTGTAATGATAAGAATACATAACACAATACTCATACTGTCTCTTCCAATACATTTAGCATGGAAGTATTAGCTTAGTAGAGTAATATCTTAGAATGAGCCCCCCCCCCCTTCCTCCTTGCTTTCCCCTCACTGCTCTGAGCTCCCCCCTTTGCATTGCTCCTCTGCCCCTCAAAACTCCCAATTCGTCTTCAACTCCTTCCTAATCTTCACTTCTTTACCCCTACCACTTCCCCTAATCCTAATCCACAATCCTTGACCCATCCTTAAACCTACCCTTAGCCATAGCCCCCTCCCATTTCTCTTCTACCCCTCGCACTTCTCCTCAACCACTTCCCCTCAACCTTTCCCACTCCCGTCAACCTCTTCTACTTCCCCTCCCCCTTAACTTCTCCCACGTCCCCTCAACCTCTCACTGCCTCTAAACCTCTCTCACTTCCCCTCAACCTCTCCCACTTCCCCTCAACCTCACCCACTTCCTCTCATCCTCTCCCACTTCCCCTGAATCTCTTCCACTTCCTCTCAACCTACTTCCATCAACCTCTCCTACTTCCCATCAATCTCTCCCCCTGCCCCTGAGCATCCCATTGCCCCTGAACCTCTCCCACTTCCCATGAACCTCTCCCACTTCCTCTCATCCTACTTCCTCTCATCCTACTTCCCTTCAACCTCTCCTACTTCCCTTCAACCTCTCCTACTTTCCTTCAACCTCTCCTACATCCTGGCAATATCTCCCACTGCCCCTGAACCTCTCCATATGCCCCTGAACCTCTCTCACTTTCCCTGAACCTCTCCCGCTTTCCCGGAACCTCTCCCACTTCCCTTAAACCTATCCCACTGCCCCTAAACCTCTCCCCCAGCCTCTAAAACCAATGTCCCTGAATTTTTCATAACTTAAGCTTATCCTCCTCCTGGCTTCCCGTCTTTAGATGTTATTTTTGTTCAGAATTTTCCAGAAAGTGACAGAATCTGCTGGGTTGAAAACAAGATTTGGTATTCTCTTGGAAACAGTTCACAGGGTATTGTTCATCTTTATATGACTTGAATGGTAGAACCCAATGGCCTATTTTTGTTTGTGTTTTATTAAGATCTGGGCTGCTAAAATATGCATGTCAATCTATGGATCCGGTGGCCGAATTTTAAGAATTTGAGCGGCGGTTTAAATTTAAGCCGCGGTTTAAATATGGTTGGTTCCACTTAAAATTAGATCAAATGTTTCAAGATTTAAGCCGGCGCTTAATTTAAACCGGGTTTTGGCGGATTTAAACCGCGGCTCAAATTCTTTAAATTCCATCTCTGGTCCAAGTAGAAAAATATCAACTTTTCCAACTATCGCTTGTTTTGTATTTTCATTTCAGAAATAACTATTAGGTCGAGCCGGATTCACTTATTTCTAGGTCAGATCCAGGATCCATATCCTGTTTTTAACAGGTCCACTGTTTGGATCTAAAATGTTGGATCCTGTGTTTTAAGATAGATCTGAGATACGAATTCTTAGAATCTGGATCTAGTTCAAATAGATATGGATCCTAAACACTGGTGACCTAGTATTTATTTAGTCTATCTATGTTTTTTCCCCTTAAGAATTCTAAAATAATTAAGTGTCCACTCTCCAGGATAATAATTAAATGAATTATTTTGCTGGCAGCCTCTCTTCTAATTCTATTACCTTTATTTTTATTCATTATCCAGCCAGGCTTAAATGTAACAGTTTGAATTGATAGAATTATCAATTGTTTTACAGGGATATTTTCAAGAATTGATTTTTTTAGCTGAAGAAAGTTAAAAGTGGGCCTCCAACAAGCTGGCTATTTTTCCTATTTTCCTTACTATGAAATTTCCTCAAGAATTCAAATTCCAACTACAAACTTAGTAGAAAGGTTTAAAAAAGTTTTTAAAAAAAGTACTCCCTATGTTTATTTACAGGCTCTGCGTGATGCCCCGAAGAGTGCAATTACCGAGCGAGTGAGCGTGAAGATGGTTGCCAAGAAGAAGGACGGGACCGTCCTCAAGAAATTGTTTAAACCTATAGAGGACACATCCAAGGAGGGATCTTCTCACAAATCAAATGTATTTGTCCTCTCCAAGAATAAGGTAATTTTCTGACCAGGTAAAAAAAAAAGAATTATAAAAAAGTGGGATAGGGATTTAAGCTCCTAAAACCTCGTAGTTCCGAATTCTAAATGATATCTTATTCTTTTTGTCAATACTGTGCTGGTATATTTTAGGTCTTTTTATTCTTTTGAAAAATCATCCCCCCCCCCCTTTTGAAAATAATTTTTTCCCTAGATGCAGAAGTAAGGTACATTTTTTTCTCGCTTAACTAGGGAAGGTAAATGAATTTTAGGGGCAAACAAATAAATTTGTGCGTAAAATGTATCACGAAAGATGTATGATGTCAAAATTTTCATATTTTAACCAGAGTCTAAAACTAAAGAATGCGCGAATTTTAAGTACGAGGTTAAAAGTTCTGTAAAATAATGAATAGCTACTTAAATATTAAACTTTCTCAATTTTAAATTTGAATTTCCCGGGAAGTATCGGTATTCAGTAATAAGCTGTTTTTAAAATTTTAGATTATTTACGTGGCGGAAAACAAAACATATTTCCAGTTACAACCGTATTTTGGGTTTACGTGCAAACATTAATTAATCTAAAACGTGAAATTTATTAAATCAAGGTTTTTACTTTTAAATATACCGTAATTAGTTGAATGCCGCTTACCGCTGAATTATGATAGACAAATAGGGATTGCGGAATTTCAAGATTTTAACCCTTTGTTTAAATTTTAACTCGTCGATTTCGGCGAGTTAAATATTTAACCACTGGGTTAAATATTTAACCTCGCGGTTAAAGTTCAAAGTCTAAAACTAAAGAATGCGCAAATTTTAAGTTTAAGGTTAAAAGTTCTGTAAAATAATGAATAGCTACTTAAATATTAAACTTTCTCAATTTTAAATTTGAATTTCCCGGGAAAAATCTGAACCAATCAGAGAAAAGGATTTACGGAGAATTATTACATAAGTATTGGTAATCAGCTGGTTTTTTTTAAATTATTTACGTGACGGAAAACAAAACATATATCCAGTTACAACCGTATTTTGGGTTACATGCAAACATTAATTAATCTAAAACGTGAAATATATTAAATCAAGGTTTTTACTTTTAAATATATCGTAATTAATTAGTTGAATGCCGCTTACCTCTGAATGATGATAGACAAATAGGGATTGCGGGATCGGGGATTTCAAGATTTTAATCCTGTGTTTAAATTTTAACTCGTCGATTTCGGCAAGTTAAATATTTAACCACAGGCTTAAATATTTGACCTCACGGTTAAAGTTCAGGTTTAAATTAAGTCAGAAGTGGCATTTAACCATGAACTTAAAATTTAAGTCAAAACTTTTCGTTCTTTAGTTTTAGACTCTGATCATTAAAATTGATAATTATTAAAATTATATACCCCTGAGTCTAAAACTAAAGAATGCGCGAATCTTAAGTTCGAGGTTAAAATTTCTGTAAAATAATGAGTAGCTACTTAAATGTTAAACTTTCTCAATTTTAAATTTGAATTTCCTGGGAAAAATCTGAGCCAATCAGAGAAAAGGATTTACCGAGAATTATTACGGAACTATCGGTAATCAGCTGTTTTTTAAATTCTAAATTATTTACGTGACAGAAAACAAAACATATATCCATACAACCGTAATTAATCAAAGTATTTTTCTTTGAGATTTATTATTTAATTATTAACAGACAATATTCTTCGAAACATATTTGATTGAAGATCGTGAAATAATCTAAAGTTTCCAAGAGTTTTTTTAATACAAACAACAGGGTTGTATATTTTCTTGAAAAATAATCCGCCCCTCCCCCCCCCCCCCCGCCCATCTCTTTAGAAATCATATTTTTCTCTCTTTCATGTTAGGGTGGGGGGGGGGATAATTCTAGAAAATATATACCCCTGATTAAAGATTTTTTAAACATTCAAAGTCCCCCTTCTTAAGTTTCCGTATTGATTAATGAACATCATGTTGTTTAGGAGGAGAGAATGTTGTGGCATGTCATGGAGATAGTAGTCATCATTGATCGTAGACCAACCTGTCATATTAAAGGTTAAATAATAAATTGATCGGATGTTGGATTGATTGATGTAATAGATGATAGATTGAAATGATTTATTAATTGGGCGATTGATTGATTAGACGATTTATTTGACGATTGATTTATTTGAGGGTTGACTGATTGGATAATTGAATGATTGATTGATTGATTGATTGGATGATTTATTAATTGTATAAATATTGTATTATTTGTTTTTGATTTAATATATTTTAATTTAAATGTATACTTGATTTGTGGGGTTCAAATGGATAATTATTAAAGAGGGTATGTGATATATAAAGAGATCTGTGGAATAATTTTATATGTTTTCATTGTTAAAGGAATCTCAGGGGAGGAATTTGCTCGAACTGTTTGTTCCGGACAAACCCAATCATATCTTAGTAAGGTTAGTCCCTGGACAGTGTACAGTGTACAACCCTGTGATACGCTTTTTCACTTTGGCAACTAAAGAGATTGTAAGCGTAATTTCAAGTGACCCTCCAAGCAAAAATTGTAATGTCCGATTTACAAGGGTACCCTTCAAAAGTTTACAACTTTCTATGATCACATATGAACTCCATATAATTTGTTTTGTGAATTGCACATTTCTAGTGCAGAAAAAATATATAAATTATCATTATTCAATTTATAAAACTTAAAAAACAAACTATCTTTCACTGTACTGATCACATAAAGGTTTCAACGGTACTGCTGTTTAGAATTGGACATTGCCATTTTTTCATAGAGAGCCACTTGAAATTCCACTAAGCCCCTTTAAATGCACAGTCAGTTTTAAGATTTACTAAAATGCCAAACAATGTTCAATAATTTTGAGTAAATTGGGTTTAGAGTGACTAGAAATGAAAAATTATGTCTTAAAGATAGTGGATATATGCTTCCCTCTCATCTAACATGAGCCACGCTGAAAGTAGCTGCTGGGGTCATGAATAGTGAAAAATGTTAGTACTGAAGAAATAAGGATTTAAGATTAAGTCTAAAAATAGAAAACAAAAATAGAGAAGGAAAAGAGAAAAAAATAAACATTCATAAAAGAAAGAATAACCAATTAGGCACAACTGAGAAAAGCTGTAATGTAATAAGAAGATAGTAATTAGATCAAAATCTAAGATAATCTTATATCTTATTCTTTTCTCTTTGATAAATATTTATTTTTGTGAATTTATTTTTACAAGAAAGAAGGTTTTTTATTGCTTTCACTAGGCAGGCTTCAAAATTCATTCCCTCAACTAGTATTATTAGTATCCGTTATCTAGGCCAAATCCTTCCATTACGATGTGAAGATGAGTCTAAAAGCTGCTGTTGAAGATATAGCGAAGCATGTGAGTAAGGATAGATCCAGTCCATTCCTGAACCAATGGTTGTATATCTTTACCAAGGGATATGTTTCCAACCTCAGATCTAGGTAGGTCTAGGTCTAGGCTATTATTGAAATTTTTGTCCCCCTTGCCCCCCCCCCCCCCACACACCTTATTAAAAATATTTCCCCCCCCCCTCGATATTAGATATGTTTAAGAGATTTATTATTGGAGAAAAAAAATTTAAGTTTTGGTTAAGAAATAACAAAAAGGAGAGAAATTACATTTTTCTTTTTTTTCTCAAATTCATTGAAATTCATTGTTTAATACATATATCTTCAGTTTTTCTTATTTATTTCTATTAAAATCCCCCACCCCTCTCTTCTTTTCATGTGGAATGGTTTGATAAGAACATAAAAGACTGTTTTGTTGGTTAGATTGTTGATCCAATTTATTCATGATTCTGTACTTTAGGTCCAAGTTTCATTCATTCTGGCCGTTAATTTATTCCTGATCCAACTTCTTTTATCCAGCTAGCAACCACCCTGAGCATGATTTTTTTTAGGGTGGGGGGGGGGTGAATACGAATTTATTTAATGACGGATTGTCTTTCAATAATGAATTTGATTTTAAAGATTTAATTTTTTAATACTAAACATGTTTGCGGTAGCATTTCAAAAAGAGAAAGAAAAGTTTTTATCCATCTTTTCAGCTTTTTTTCCAGATAAAATTTCGAAGGGGTCCATTAAGAACCAATAATAGAATTCTTTAAATGAATTATTCAATTTTCACAGAAACACTTTTAATTTTCTTTCGACTTTCTGGTGTTCTGGTCTTTATGATAAAAAGTTATGAATTGGTTTTACTTCAACGGAAGGGAATGTCGCTGTAATTTTAAAGTACTCTCCATTGAAAGAGAGAATGCTCGATTCCCAACAGTACCCTTCAAACCTTTATCTGGTAAATAATGTGGAATAAAACTTCGTTTTTCTAGCTTGGAAATTTTAAAATTTCTAAAAAAAAATTTCCTGCAGCATAAATGTGCAAGTCACTTTTGTAGAAAACCCACAATTTAAAATCTAATTCATACGGGATCAGACACAAACTTTAAGGGCACTGTTGTCACTAAAAAAGAAGGGCCACTTGAAACTAGGTCCTTCCCATAATTTACCGGATGTCCCTCCACCCCTCCCCCCTTCTCACTTTTCCTAAAAAAAAGCAAACTAGGATTGAATAATTTTATTAGGCGCGCAATGCCGAATGACTACTGGACTGCAGATACCGTTGAGGATTATATGCGCTGCAAAGTTATCAACTTCCCTATAGGAGTTCATAATGAAGCTATGCGTAGGGATGCTTTCAGGTTGGAATGCAGGGTTATCCACAAATGATGAGACTTCAGAGACGACTCTACTGCTATATTCTTATATTCATGATTCCTTACAACTTAAATCTTCGTCAACTCATTAAATAAGTCAATATAAGATTATGTTCATTCAAAACAGAAGACTTGATGTTGAGATTGTCTTATTATATGAGTTTCAGGTCGTCTTTACAGTCACATCCTTCACATTGGTAAACACTGTTCTTCATTGTCACTGTTTGAGAGTTAGCAATTATTTGTTTACATTTTTCTTTGATTTTTTATATTTAAATAGAAATTTTATTTTGAAATTATAAAATTTGATTTGAAAAGCAAATGTGTCTTCATAGGTTTAGATGAAAATTTTTTCTTTAGATCTTGTTAAAGCATTCAGATGTTAATCGTTTAAAGATATTTTTTCTAGAAAAAGGAAACACCCAGCCCCTGGTAAATTTTCAAAATTCATATCCCACCTTTATTTTACAAATTACTATGAAAATTTGTATTACAAAAGTTGAATTTTGGGAAAAGCATTATTCAAGTTTAAGTAAAAAACTTGTAGAATAATTTTTTTTCCCTTAAGCTTAAAACATTTTTTCACTAAGGGGAAGATTTGAATTTAAAATTAACTTAATGAACTTAATGGAAATATATTTTTATATTAAAAATAAATAACAACTTATAGCATACAATTTGTTTATTTTATTTGTTTTGACAGAACCTGGATAATATCTCGGAAGATTACTGATGAGAAAGAAAAAGATCGAAAAAGTTTGTTTGTTTGTACATACAACCCAGATTTACAGGTACTGAAAAAACTCATTTTTTACTATTTTGTAAGCAATTAATAAACTTTTCACTTTTGTTTACGTTTTAACTATTTAAATTCAAGTTTCATGTCTTTCTAATTTTTAATCGCAACAATTGGTTACTTGTAAAAATCTTTTTCATTAAATCATAAGGAAAGAAACCGACTTTAATCTCCCTATTTATGTTTCTAATTTTCCAGGATGTCCAGTACCTAAAGACGTTTTCTTTGCCAGTAGAAACCAGAGTTGAGACTTTAGGTCTTATGGAGCATATCAGTCTTGGATCTGTTCAGGTCAATTTAAAAACTTGAAAATCCAAAATAATTATCTTTTAATTTGAGACAATTTCAGATGGGCTATGTCTTAATATTTAAATACTTTACAAAGGATTTATCTTAAGATTTCCTTTGTTGCTCCTTTTTCTAATGAGAAGCTTATATAAAACTTTATATTGTTCTTTTTAAAACTTTTTTTCGATTAGTTTTTCGTTCATTGGCATTTATTATTTTTATTCCTTTTACAATAAATAATCAGTATCTTGAATTTTCGTTCCTTTTGTCTAAATCCTTTATTTTCAACTTTTTGTTTTTATACCTTAAATTAATTTTGTTATTTCTATTTTTTTTCAGGTTGATGATAAATTTTTCTATGATGTAACCTTTGGTTGTCCTGTAACCACTGGAGTCCGGATCTTTATAAGAAGAATATTCCCAATACAGGAACAAACTTTATTATTGAAAACCAGACGCTTGGATATTGAATAGAAATAGAAAACTGGAAGATTTTATACAAAGTACAACCTTCAAAGGGACTGTAAGTGTAATTTTAAGTGTCTATCCATGCACAGATGACAATGATCGATTTACAACGGTACCCTTGAAAACTTAGTTTGGTATAAAATGTGGGAGATACCGTCGTTTTTCTGACTCAGAAAGTGTCAAATTCTGATTATTTTCTCAATTGATTTTTACAAGAAAGAGATGCCCAACTCCCTTTAGCAGAGAACCCGCAAATGAAAATAAACGGTTTAAAGAAACAAAACATGGATATCTAGTTATTAAATATTTATACTTGATCAGACAAAACTTTTAACGGTAACTTTATAAATCGGGCAACGGGCATTGTCATCTTTGCAAGGGAGGGTGAATTATCTAATCCAATTCTGTATTTTTGGTCAGCAGAAAAAATCTTTAAACTAAAGCACTTCATGCTTCTTTTTGGAAGTTGCAATTTAAGCTTTCAGTTGTTTCTACGCTCATTAGATGCTAAGTTTAAGTAGTAAGTACTATTAATTAAAAAGCAAACAATTAATTGAAGTAAATGTCTAGATAAACGAATAATAGATTGTTGACGGTTATACATAACAATATTTACGGAACTGACGTCGTTACTGCAACTGACTATAAACACAATATACAAAGAGGAATTAATCAATTCACTATGGTACTATTTAAATCAAAAAGGATATCGACGTTTTTCTATCTGAAAAAGAGATTGATTTAATTTCCGTTCATGTCTTTGCTGCATACATTCATAAGCTATTTTACAAGATCAATGAGTATTGGTTTGATTAGAACGAGGAGTGTGAGAGGATGAAGCAGGTTCTTGTTTGCGAGGCTGTTAGAGGCACAGTCCTCTCCCATATAGATGATTGCCATGTCCTCGTGGTTCAACTCAAGAAAACGTTCGAAGAATCTCTAGATTTTGATCAATATCTTCTGAAGAAAATCAACGAAAAGAGGATTATTTGCATCAACAAGAAGACAAGGGCGGAGACGGTAGTTTTGGGACTAGGAGAATCCTGCAAAACTCCAGACCTCATTGCCAAACTATGCACACAGCTCAAGAGACCCCGTAATATGGTTCAAGTGTTTAAATGTTATTCTGGGAAAACTATTGAGGATCCATGCTCGGAGCAGAGTATTAAAGGTAGATTCGGTTTAAACAGAAAATCTGGGACCAGATTTAATTAATAGTGAGACATAGTTGAACCGCGAAGATGCGGTTCAGTCACTTCTTTTTAGGTCCGGGTTACGGTTTACGTACGGAAATGATCCGAAAATTTTTTCCATTTCCATTATGGAAAAGGTTCCGGAAATTCGGAACGATTTCAGGAACAGTTTTTCCCGTAAACCGGAAATTACCGGATCTTTGTTCCGGAATTACAGAGCGTCCCGGAATATTGTTTCGGAAGATTCCGGTTTCTGACAACTCGTTAATCTTAAACTTATAAAAAAGATAAGTATTACTATCTACATAATAATAGAATGTGCGCCTGGTTTAGCTGTAGTTAAAGTAATACTACTGTGAATAATTATGAAATATAAATCTTGACTGCTATGTCTCAAAATAACTTCATCTACAGAGAACTGTGGAAATGAAGACAACATATAGCAATCCTTAAGTCTATTGATATTGTTAGAAAGCAAATAGGTTAAATATTAACTTAAAAAATCACTTTTTAATTGGTCTGTATACAGTATAATATACACTACGTAATCGCTGTGTCTTATGTTGATTAAATAAACTATTTAATTTAAAGTCATAACTTAAGTCTAAAAGTCGTCCTCCTATTCCAGAGTTTCTGGTTCTCACTATTTATATACTTTGCTCGTCAATACACGTCAAAGCCGACCGAGCCAAAAATTTGTGAGGCTACGCACATGGCCCAAGGGATGGTTAAAAACTGGTTTAAAAGTTTGTGCGGGAAAAATGTCGAAAATTTGTATTTTTTTTAATTTACCAATTTAAAGAATAGTTTTTACAAACTCTTATTTATATGGTCCATTTCATCCCATCCTGATCAAATACGGAGAGAGAGGGGGGAGGGGGGCTAGCCTATCCGATGACCCTCTTGAAAATTAAAAACTAATTTGTCAAAAAATATTGTGGGGAAAGTGAAAACTGTAACTGTTAAATAGTCATGATGAACTATAGTAAAATATTTGTGAATATATAATTATAGAACTAAAATGCATATTTAATATATGTCAACTATAAATTTTAACTTTTAATGTTTTAACATTGCTTTCTATGTCTAACATTGTGTTAAAATTTCCGGTTTACAAAATGGAAACTGGAAATTTTACAGTTTCCATTTTGTTAACCATAAAAATTTTCAAATTAAGTCACGATTAAGTCCATTTGATCCGGAATTCCGGTTTACGCATAAGATTTCTGGATTATTCCATTTCCAAAATGGGTATTGTTAAGCTACTTCTTGCTATTCATTTTTAACTTTAATAATTTATTTTAATTAAGAATATTTTTAAATATTTATATGCTATCAGATAAAAATATTTTGAGATTTCTATATTTCTTGTTCTTCATTTTCTTCTTGTTCGTACTCTTTCATACATCTTACAATCATATATCTGCTAATTTTGAAAAAAAAATAAAGAAAAGGAATGTCCTTGTAATTAGCCACTTTACAAGAAAGAACTATTTTTAAAAGATCTTGCTTTTTTCCAAACCTTTTATTTATTTGAACTAGCTGATAATCTGGCTTTTTTTTCTTGGAGCTCTCTTTATTGACTTCTTGGGGCATAGGGAAGGGGGGGGGGAATGAGAGTGAGCAAGTCACTACCCTTACCTCTCCTCTTGCCTTACTTGCGCATGTTTTACTTGCGTCAGCTTCTTCTACACACTTTCTAGTGCATTTAATTTCGGGTACAGTATATAGAGGGGGGGGGGGGGTTACACTTAGTCCTCGCGTTCCAACAGTATTTGCTATTAATAATCAATTAATTATAAAATTAAATCTGGTTTCAGAAAATTAAATTCTTTCCTTTTCTTTATATTCATTGCCGCTCAGGACTAGTATCATACCAGTTTTGGATTGATAAATAACTTCATTGCAGGTTGATAGAAAGAGATTTCTGGGACCAAGTTTAATGAATCTGAAATCACTAAAATACCTACCGCCGGTTCAAATTTGAACCGACGGTAGGTAATTTAATAAATTTGGACCCTGGATATTCTACAGAACTAACTTTGATTTCTAAAATAAAGTAAAATGCATATTAATTATATCAATTTACTTTTCCCTTGTTTTCTTTAACTTTCCTGTAAGAGTTCGTTACATTTAAATAAGGTACTTTTTCTAAGATACTTTTAACTTAAGAAAGGATCTTTGGAACCGGTTAAAATTATCCCATCGCCAATTTGATGATTGACCATTAATGATATATCATACTTTTAACTTTTTTAAATTATTTTATTTTTAGATGACGAATGTATGAGCTCAATATTTCAATACTGTGATGAGGAAAGAAAACTGTTTTATCAGGAGCTACCCCTAGGAGTAGATCCAGACCTTGGAGACTCAAGGGGATCCATGGAAACAGTAGAGTCCCTGCAACCCTTAGAAGAGTCTCAACTCGACCAGGATAAATGGATTGAAGAAATGGACGCAGTTTAAATGTTACCCTTGATATTTAATTGTAAGGAAAGTGAACTTCACGTTTAGGGTTAATTTTAAAGAATAAGACTTGAAAGGATTAAAGACTCAATTTCAAGTTCCCCACATTTTGAAAACTGGACTATAGACCATGCCCTTTAAACCTCAGTCTAAGTGTCCATGTGGGGATGATATTGGCGTTTTTTTTTTATCGAAAAACTTCAGTTATTTTTCTTCATTGCCTTTAAAGCATAAATGCGCCAGTCTCTAATAGGAAAAGCACAATGGGAAAGTAGTACATTTTTCAGCAAGATAAATAAGGTTATCTCATTCATCCATAATCAGACAAATGGTACCGTTATGAACCGGACATCTGCCTCTACAATTGAACAATAGGCTCACTGGAAATTACGTAACAAGTCCCTTTAATGTACGACTGTGGAGATTTTATGATAAGAATCCATTGTTAGCTGCGGCTGGTATCTTACACAATTTGTTGGCTTGAGTTCATAAGATTGCATTCATTGTTAATTACTATAAACGCCAAATGATAAAAATTTATAGGTCGTCAATATTTATCTCGTGTATTGTAGTTAACAATATGTAAAAACAATATTTATATAAATACATTCCTGTGTCGACACTGAACGGTGGACGGCAATCACAGTTTTTAGTTATGTCGAAATAAAATTCATAGTTTTAAACCATTTAAAAACAAATTATGATTTTGTTAATTTATAATTTATTTCAAAGGTGATTTTACTGCAAAACTATGTTTTCTGAACCAACAATTTAAATAACTGGGGGTGGGGGGATCAGTCTCAATTGAGACTAATACAAGAGTAATTATCAACAATAAAATCACTTCGATATGAAGTCGGGTCTAACTATAGAACATGGAAGGTAATTCAGACTCGAGACTAAGCTTAATAAAAGAACTAGGTGAAATTTCAAGTAACCATTCATGCAAAGATGACAATGCCCGATTCACAATTGAATGAATTTCGTCAAATCAAGTGTGAATTTCTATTTGAGAAGTTTGGGGTTTCTCTACATAGGTGACTTGTTTATTTCTTCTGCCGGAAAACATACAGAATTATCAGAATTAAACATTTTCAAAACTTGAGAAACGACAATATCTTCCACAGAATTAACAGATAAAGGTTTCAAGGGTACCGTTGTAAATCGGACATTGCCATCTTTACATGGAGGGTTGCTCGAAATTACGTATACAGTGTTTTAGTTTCCCCCTGTATCTTCTCTAAACTTTGGTCAAGAGAAGTTTCTAGATATTGGAAACTTTGAAACAATTGATTTTTCAGTAGAACCAGGATAAAACAGCTGACTCGCTAGATCCAGGAGGAAGGGGGGGGTGTTAAACTTTACACGAGGTTTTATGCTGTCTGAAGGGTATTCCACGAATTTTGAACGAGGGGGGGGGGGTGGTGGTATTGTACTAGACTTGAATTAGTAGAAAAACTAATTCTTGTTCTTTACATTGGCGTTATTGACACTGGACCAATTGAAATTGCAAAAGCAGAAATTTACAGGACTGAACGCCGAACGGGGATAAATGCAGTTAAAGAAACCTAGTATTTCCCCACAGTATATGGTAAAATATTAACAATTTCAAACCTTACAAAATGCTTCCTCAACCTTATAAAAGTCTTTATGTATACTTGGTGCACAAACAAAAGTTTTATAGAAACAAAATATTCCCTAACTTTTGACGGAAGAATGTCCCTAAATTCTAAGATCAATAACGGCTTTAAAGTCGTTAGGCTACTGGGACACTATTGGCCAATTTAACTTATTCATGCTAACAAGGTTACAACTGTATGACGTATTTATATATCTACACTTCTTTGGCAAAGCCTAACCATGGTTGTATGGTGTGACTATGGGACTATGGTAGAACGTCTAAGAAATAGGCCTCCTGTATTTTAATTCATTTGAAAGAATGCCTCCCCACCTGTCACACCAACATGACAGTGTCCTTTTGATATTTTTATTGAAAAGTTATTTAAAATTGTCACTAACTATGCAGCTTTCATCATCATATGATGAAAGGAGTGTTTTTACAAGTTTTCCAGCGTCCAGAACAAAAAACATACCTGAAAATAAACTTTCAGTTAAAACTCGAGTACAAATTATTGTTAGGCACAGAATATAGATTTTGGTTCGTTCTGGAGCTTATTAAAAGCTTTGTTCAGATCTCAATTGTGTAACAACCGGATAATTTTTATTTTATAAACTTTGGCATAAAATAAAAACTGGAGGAGCTACGAGGTTACAAAGTTGTACCAGCAATGGCGCATAAATTTAACCTTCTCCCTGTTAAGTTTTTTAGTGTTAACAAATATTATGTGCTTTCGGCCTAGAGTTACCCACAAAGGAAGAACCTTTATGTACTTAACGTGTCATTATTAATGGCATTTAAGTTTTTTCATGTAAATGTCCCATAAACGCTTTTTATGTTCCGATTTACAAAATTCACAAAAGAGATTACTTTTTAAGTTTTCTTACTTGTTTTTATATGAAGATACCGTAATTAATAAGTAATCAATTTTATTTATAAAACAAGTGTTTAAAAGGTGTAGTTCTGAAATTATTTTTATCTGTGTAAACATAATTTATTTTCATTCCAAAAATTAAATTTTAGTCTGAATTTGATTTTTAATTATTCAAATAGTATTGACAGCGTTCTAGGTCGTGAGGTAGACTTATTCTAAATGGGTATACCTATATGTTAAAGGTCTATGACCCACTGATTGTCAATGTTAATTAAATAATGTTCGAGGGTCAGTAAATAAACAGGAAACTAACCGTTGACAAATCACCGCATTAACCCCCTTCCCTACCCTGGAGTAGTGGCTTCGTCTGCCTTGTTTATATTAAGAAATCAATGATTGTAGAATGAAGAGGAACCCTTATCTCTCCCTTACATTACAGTTTATCTGCTTAACCAGAAACCACGCCCAAATCCCGGGACCGGGAACTCAATAGAACAAATATTTCACCAGACGACGCTAAGTATTTAATCACTCTGTTTCGGATTAAACTTTAATAATGTTCACTTAAAATACTTATAGCTATCCACTTTTCCAAATGTTAATTAGATGGCATCGAATAAATTTCATAAATAATCGGTTTAAAATCGGCACAAGCTATATAATTCTTTGTTTTATTTTGTCCATGTATATAGGTGTATATTCCCCTACACGTGAATAACTTATTTTAAACAGGATTCCCCCTCTTAACACACACACATACGGACAAACAAGGAAGCTGTATTTGCAAACAAGAGGTTAAAACTGAAGGGGATTCAAATAAGAAAAATTAATCCGATACCCCGATAAAAACTTGACAGAGGAGTACTCCGTAATCGCTGTACAGATTATCATTAGAACATGTTTGTTTGTTTCTCTGAATGGTGTTTAACCCTATTCCTGCTGGGGGGGGGGGATTGACCCCCGACCCCTCCCCCTGTAGTTTTTTACATAACTCAAAAAGTATTGGTCTGAGGCTGTTGAAATTTTCTGACTTTTCCTACATACCCACAGTCCTCCCTTTAGGCCTAAAACCGGGCTTTAATACTAACTGCCTGAGTCCTCAGGCACACTGCCCAAATGACTGTTTTTTCCTGTAACAAACTAAATCTTTGTTTTGACCCACTTCCACTTGTCAGATTTTGATAAAATTTAGCTTTTTGGAAAGCCTTTGTCATAAGGAAACGAATTCCACAAGTTTTGCGAAAAAAATTGCAAAGTTTTTGCAAACAACCTGTCAAAAGAAATTTGCACATTTTTAGTTTTTCTTGATTAAAATTCAGGTTATTTAAAATTTCGTAAAATTTTTTGCATATTTGAGATCGCATGGTCAAGGGCTTTTCAAAACTGTATAATTTTTCATTTTTTGGACAAATTTTTTTTTGCAAACATTTTTACTATATAATTGGATTTTACGATAAAAAATTCAATTTTTGCAAATTTGCAATTTTTTTTGCAGATTCTAAAAGTAGAGCACAAGAGCTGTCCAATGATGTATCATTTGTCATATTTAGACATCAAACATGGGATTTAGAGGGTGGGGGTCAAATTGGCCCCCCCCCCAGCATATCCTGGTTTTCAAGTACCCCAGCAGAGATAGGGTTAATCAACGCGTATTTTCTTTAACAAATTTTGCCGTTTAGCCCCCACCTACTTTAATATATAATCCGTAAGATACTAAACAATCTATGAACATTCCCGTGGTTATAACAAGTAAACAAAGAAAAATTTTGTGTTAGTGGTTCCATCAGATGTACTGACAAACAAACTAATAGATAAGAATAAATAGCTTTAAATTTCTTATATGCAACCTAATAATTGCGTGTAAACGAAAACTAGAGGACAGTTAAGGTCGCAAAGTCGTCTCAGTATTCTACCAAACAAATAACGTTTTAAGTGGAGACGATTCCTCTTTCTAGAAATAAGTTAATATTTGTTTGATGAAGAGCCGAAGATATTTCTTGAATGCTTGATTACAATCAATTGCAGGGATAATCAAGCTTAAACCAATTTCCTCTCCCTTCATAGCTTTCTGAAGTCGGAATTAATGAATAGAAAGAAGTAGGTCAGCTAGAGTCGGATAGTTGAACAACTTCTATAGTCAAGCCGAGAAAGAACTAGAGATGAACTAACCATTATTCAGTTTATGTGCTTCTCTAGTGCTCCTGAGCGTGTACTAGAAAGGTAGTTCAACTAACTATTCCTAATTCAATTACTTCTATAGTGAGGCTGAGCGTGTAAGAGAAAGGTAGTTCAACTAGCTATTCCTAATTCAATTACTTATATAGTGTGGCTGAGCGTGTACGAGGAAGGTAGTTCAACTAGCTATTCCTAATTCAATTGCTTCTATAGTGAGGCTGATCTTGTAAGAGAAAGGTAGTTCAACTAGCTATTCCTAATTCAATTACGTATATAGTGTGGCTGAGCGTGTACGAGGAAGGTAGTTCAACTAGCTATTCCTAATTCAATTACTTCTATAGTGTGGCTGAGCGTGTAATTGAGAAAGGTAGTTTAACTAGCTATTTATAATTCGACTACTTATATAGTTTGACTGAGCGTGTACGAGAAAGGTAGTTCAACTAGCTATTCCTAATGCAATTACTTATATAGTGTGGCTGAGCGTGTACTAGAAAGGTAGTTCAACTAGCTATTCCTAATAATTCGACTACTTATATAGTTTGACTGAGCGTGTACGAGAAAGGTAGTTCAACTAGCTATTCCTAATGCAATTACTTATATAGTGTGGCTGAGCGTGTACTAGAAAGGTAGTTCAACTAGCTATTCCTAATTCGATTACTTCTATAGTGTGGCTGAGCGTGTACTAACTAGAAAGGTAGTTCAACTAGCTATTTATAATTCGACTACTCTATAGTAACTAAATGTGTGTACAAAAGAAGTAGTTCAACTAACCATTTATAATTCGATTACTCAACATTATTTAACCCTGAACTAAAAGCTTCTCTTTATTTAAGAACATTTCTCGGATTATTCCACCTCTAAAGTCTCCAGTGTCAAACCTCAAACCAAACATGGAAAAACTAATTGCGCTCTTAGAAATAGCTGAACACTCCCTTCTCGAGTTCTTAAACAAATATACATTTTGGAGGGAATTTAAGAAGAAAAGAGTAAATACTGTCACATAGAATAGATACATTATA